TAATAATATGGTATTATAGAGCCACATAGATGTTTATAGTGTTTATTATGATTATAATAAACATCTGTGGTCATATATTGTTATGTCCTTTTATACAAAAATCTGTTATATCTGTGCTCGGACGATACCCTTCAACCATCGGCCAGAGACATGCAACGCCACTCTCCCTGCGTACACCCTTGGCGTCAGACATGCGTGRTGAGCCGACTTAAGATATGTCAAATGTAATTTTTCTGTGTCTAAAATAATAAATGCWCTTTTTATAWATCTCTAAATTAACAGTTGTGTTGTCAATTAATATTGAATTATAAATTAATTAGTGTTGAACCTATTTCTCCTTTCTTCGTCCATCAAACACTCAAAAGACTTCAGTCGAAGTGGGGTAAGTTAATTCAAAGTATAAATAATAAAAAACCTTATATGCATATATGTATTTGCATGTGTATGCATATATGCACATAAGAAGGTAGTAATCTAGAGTGTATACATAATATACATAAAATAGACGATATACGTTAGAATATACGTTACATATTCTCCTCTTTTTTTACATTACTACACTATATCAGCTGATCTATGCATTTGGCACAGCATCGTTTGTAGGCTATATTAAGTAGGTAGCTAATCCATTACTCTTTGATTAAAGCCAATAGATAGGTTTTGAAAAAGAAAGGTCACTTGAAGTCGAGAGACCCTACATAATATACGCACAATGCGTCAATGCTATGTAATTGGCCTCTTGCATAATAAATATGGCGTAGTCGTGGAAAAAACGTAAATTATGTTTTTGCAGTGTGACGTCGACACGTCGTCATCGCCTCATCGGATCCAAAAAAGGTGTAAAAAGAAGCTCAAATTGTTTTGAATACCTACAATATGTTTTGTAACCCCAACATAACACCAATTTAAAATAAAACAACAAGTTTTTTTCGTTTTGATTTATTTTTCTAGTACATATGTACTTATTATAAAACATACTAGCAGTAAAATTATCTAGTGTTAATAATTTAAGACTTTTTTACAATATTGTCTTATAGTTCGTTGTGGTTTATGGTTTCCGACGGATTAACGGCTGCAGGAAACTCGGTTAGCGGCAACGTGCTCCAGAATTTATAGTTGCCAGGATTTGAGTATTCTTGCGGTTCGAATGTCTGGTTCTGTGTGATCTTAATCAATTTTAATGGATCTGATGGGTTTTTTGACACCGGTGACCATACTACAGAGTTTCCTACGTCTGGAACTCTGAAACATAATGTGTAGACGTGTAGAGGTATATTATGTACAAATTATGTGAGTTTAGTACATTAAGTATTATAAATATTATGTGGGATACCTAGATCAATAYGTTGCAGAAGTGTAAACGTGTAATCAACAACGTCTACTTATTTAAGAGGGCCGCACACCCGTATTTGTTGTTTTAGTCTTATAAATGCGTAACATTGTAGGTATACCGTATACCTAATTTACGCTCAGCAGTTCACGCTTTACTCCGTTAGCTTAACAGTTAGAATGAATAGAACTGTTATGAAACTTGATGGTAAGAACACTAAGAACATTATTTGTATTTTGTTGGAAGTATTTTTTACGATATTTCAGTTTTTGAGTGAGTTTGCCCATAGGCGGAAATCCATAGAAATGTATGGGGG